GCCGCAGCAGCAGAGCTTCCAGACCGGTGCTCCTGCGATGCCGTCGATCCCGCCTCAGTTCCAGCAGCAACAGCAGCAGCAACCCACTAGCTTCTCCGTCTCGCCTCAGCAAGCCTCTGGGCCTTCAAACCCACCACCAGCACCGATGAAGCCCCAGGCTACCGGCTTCACCGAGATGGCCGCGTCCTTTCAGACTGGCGGTACTACGAAGCCCCGAGGCCGAAGACAGGAGAAGTCGCAGCCCAACAAAATCCCTAACATCCGTCTCTCCTTCATCACAGCCCAGGACCAGGCCAAGTTCGAAACCCTGTTCAAGTCTGCTGTGGGAGAAGCTGGCATGACCATGTCAGGAGAGAAGGCTCGGGATCTGCTCATGAGGTCAAGACTTGATGGCGACTCTCTATCGCACATCTGGTAAGAAGAGAATCTCTTCGGGGCATGTTGCTCATTGTTTTTGCCCTTGGTGCTGACAAGTCTCAGGACTCTAGCTGATACCACTCGTGCTGGCCAGCTCTACTTCCCCGAATTCGCACTCGCCATGTACCTGTGCAACTTGAAACTGACTGGCAAGCAGCTGCCACCTGTCCTGCCCGAGAACATCAAGAACGAGGTTTCGAGTATGGTGGATATAATTAGCTTCAGCATCGCTGACGAGAGTGCTCCTGGAGCCAGCTCTTCCTCTGCTCCTGATATCAGAACCAACACTGCCACTCCACCAACCATTCAGCAGCCGCAACCTCAGCCTCATGCCTCAAATGCACAGCTGCTTCAAGCGCAGATGACTGGGTTCCCGGGACAGCAGACAGGTTTCGGTCAACAACAGGGTCTGCAAAACCAGCAAACAGGGTTCCCTGGCATGGCAAGCAACCCTCAAGCCACAGGTTACAGCGGTCCTCGTCCCCCGATGCCCCCGATGCCCACGGGATTTGGCCAGTCGCTCGCTCCTGGGCCTGCAGGTGGTATGGCTGCCCCTCTGAATGCTCAACCTACAGGACGGCCTGGCCAGTGGGGTCTTGTCAATGCTCCTTCTACCGGCCTGCCCAACATTGATGCCCTTCAAGCCCAGATGATGCCTCAACAGGGCCGAGAAGCCGGAAACTTCACCACGCAGGGACTGCGAGGAAACGCCGTTATCCCCTGGGCCATTACAAAGGAAGAAAAGACCCGATACGATTCTCTTTTCAAGGCTTGGGATGGCCTGGGCAAGGGGTACATCGGTGGTGACCAGGCTATCGAGATATTTGGTCAGAGTGGACTTGAGAAGCCCGATCTTGAGCGAGTTTGGACTCTGGCTGATCACGGTAATAAGGGACGTCTGGATCTCGACGAATTCGCTGTTGCCATGCATTTAATCTACAGAAAGCTAAACGGTTATCCATTGCCTAACAACCTTCCCCCTGAGCTTGTTCCTCCTTCGACTCGAAACTTTAGCCAGTCCATCGGTACCCTCAAGTCAATGCTTCACGATGAATCTGAATTCCGCACCAAGTCAGGTGCAGCTCTGCTTCCGCAGAAGACTGGCGTTAGCTATATGAAGAACCGCTCATTCAGGGGCGCACCCGCCGGAGCCGTCGCTGGTCGGAAGGATGCCACAGTCTTCAAAAACGAAGACGAACAATTTGGATATAGATCTAGCGCTCGTCGCAGGGTCGGCAACAACTCGCCTCGTCCCGAATCTCCCGCTTCTGTCGCCTCGAATGACGACCTGACCTTGGATCAGCTCAAGAAAAAGATTAAGGAGAAGGAGGTTCTCCTTGATGCCATGGACTTCGCGGATGAGAAGAACCATGAAGAGGACGACATCCTCGACCGCCGTGACCGCCGTGAGGCGGAGGAACTCTATCGTCGCATTCGTCGAATCCAAGAGGATATCGACTCTCATCCCGATGCTGCCCTTGCAAGCGGAGACTCCGATGCTGAGCGAAGAGCTCTCAAGCGCCAACTTCAAAGTCTTACTGACAAGGTTCCTGAACTTGCTTCGCAGGTGCGCAGAACTGAGAAGGCCATTATGGATGCTCGGTTGGAACTGTTCCGTATCAAGGATGCCAAGGCTCACCCTGGCAGTGGTGCTCCTATTGTAGGAACAGGACCTGGCGGCACAGTAACTGAGTCAGACCGACTCAAGGCCAGGGCCAAGGCCATGATGCAGCAGCGAACTGCTGCGTTAACTGGTAAGAAGGTTGATGTCGGCACTGAGGATCTCGATGCGCCTAAGCGTCTTGAGGAAGAGAGCATCAAGGTAAAGAATGAAAAGGAGAGTAATGAACGTATGGTTCGTGATGTTGAGGAAAGTGTTCGCGACTTCGCGCACGGTATCGAGGACAGTCTTAAGGAGGGTGGCCGTGACAACACCAGTCAGCACGAAAAACGCCGCTGGGAAGACGCACTCGGTGTCGAGGATGAGGTTCGAGACTTTATCTTCGACCTCCAGCGTGAAAGTCGCAGCGCTCGAGTTCGTGCTCAAGACAAGCGACCCGCCCGGGCTTCAGCACGCACCGAGGAAAGTCGGCCGGAACGTGTCGCTAGTCCTAGAGTTGAGAGTCCTGTCTCGACCTCTCGTACGGCAACTCCTCCTGCTGGAGGCTCATATTCTTCATACAAGACCCCTGAGGAGCGAGCTGCTTTTATTAAACAGCAAGCTGAACAGCGGATGGCTGAGAGGCTAGCCGCTCTCGGTATCAAGGCCCCGACAAAATCCGGCGAGACAGCTGCGCAGCGCATCGAGCGAGAACGCGCTGAGCGAGCTGCGAAGTTACGACAGGCAGAGGAAGAGGATGCCCGTAGGGAAGCTGATCGCCAAGCTCGTCTAGCTGAGGAGCAAGGGATTCCACCTCCTACACCTGAGCAATCCAAGGCGGAGGCCAAGAGGCCTCCACCTCCCCCAACGCGACACCGTGGTAAGCCAGAGGCCGATCAAGAGGCTGCAAAGAGGGTTGAAGAGGATGCTGCCGCTAAGCGGGCCGAAGAAGCACGACTTGCCCATGAGCACGAGCAGCAGCAGCGCGAGACTCAGCAGATGGAGTAAGTGTGAAATCTGAAGGTCCGCGTAATGATTTACTAAACCCGTTTCTAGAGAAGACGCAAAGGAACAGGAGGACGATCTCGCCAAGGAGCGTGAGGCTTCTGAGGCTCGTCTGAAAGCCCTTGAAGAACAAGTGAGACAAGGCAAACTTCGCAAGGAGGAGGAGAAGAAGCGGAAGAAGGCAGCCATGGCTGAGGCCAAGGAGAAGGAGGCCAAACTTGCGGCAAGGCGGGCAGAGATTGAGGCTGCGCGTCAACGGGAGCTAGAACTTCAACGGCAGCTTGAGGCCATGGAAGACGACGATAGCTCGTCGTCGGATGAAGACGCAGGACCTCAGCAAATCACTCCTCAAGCTTCTACGCCGACCAGGAGTGACAGTCAGGTAGCCAGCCAAGAGCTTGACAAGAAGGCCTCTCCGCCCCCTGCTGCTGAGGCAGTTTCCTCTCCACCACCTCCTCCTCCTCCAGCGGTTGTCACATCGCCACCCAGTGAGACCGAGAGTAAGAACCCTTTCTTCAGGATGATGTCTCAGTCAACTGAGGGTACACCCGCTGCTGCTCCTCCGGCACCTTCAGCTACGAACCCTTTCCATAGGATGACCCAGAACCAGGAGGGCAAAGCTCCTTCAGGCCCTGTCTCGCGTCGCCGTGCAGACACTGACGACTGGGGTTCTGATAATGATGATAAGGACGATGACTCAGATGATGAGCGACCCGGAGGTGGTAGCGCAGCTCAGCTGGCCTCTATGCTATTTGGCACAATGGCACCTCCTCGTCCTCTCTCCGCAGCCGGCAGGGAATCAGCAACTGCTAGTCCTGTGGCCGCCAATGCTGTGACTCCTGTCGCACCTCCTCCGCCTCCTCCCATGCCGAACGCTGACTCTCCGGCTCCGATAACTTCTCCACCACCTCCTCCCCCTCCTCCTCCCATGCCCGGAAGTGACGCTCCTTCAGCACCACCGCCCCCACCACCGATGCCATCAGTCGGCGCACCTCCTCCCCCTCCTCCCCCTATGGGTGGCGCTCCTCCGCCTCCTCCGCCTCCCGGCGATGCACCTGCTCCCGCTTCCGGTGGTGGTCGTCCAGCAGGCTTCCTGAGTGAGATCCAGCTGGGCAAGGCTCTCAAGAAGACAACCACCAAAGACAGCAGTGCAGCGGCGGTGGCGGGACGAGTTTTGGATTAAAGTCATACTTTTTTTGTGCATATTTTGGAAAAGGAGGCAGACAATTGCTGATTATGGGGTGGGAACCCAGATGAGTGAGAGGTTTAGTCAGGGAAAGGGGGATGGCTATTTGTGTTGATGCGCGTAGAGCTAGCTAGTTAGTAGTAATATGAGTCCAGAAAAACGATCTCATTGTGACCCTGGCTTTTCTTTTTCTCGCCACGTCTTGTGGAAACTTTTACTTGCGACATGCTGTGCAATGAGATATGCTATGTTGAAGAACGTCGTGAACATGCTGTGAAGCCGAGGTCAAAGCACGATGCCGCTTCACGATAACGAAAAAACTAGGTCATCGGGGACAAGGCCTCGTGCTCCGGCTTGCAATTGTACATACTACGTTGGCGTCAGAAAGGTCTCAGCCAGGTCTCAAGCCCCTTTCGTCAATTCACGGTGACATTGTCTTGGAATTCGGATATAAGTCCGCACACGCACGAAGTGGGCATTGAAAAGGAAGTTTCAGTCTTTGACGACAAACCCGTGAGGTTGCAATTGGCATTACTGTCCAAGCTGACAAGGCATGCTGCGAATGTGAGTGTGAGGTGCGGGAGGTAGTGCATGTGGACAGGTCAATCTAAATGAAACATGCAAAGAGTCGGGATTAGCTAAACGAGGCCGCGAGGATGTAGGTACAGGGTCAGTTGCGGCATGTCAGAGAGCCGAGAGTGCGTAATGTGCAGGCTATTCCATTCCTTACGAATCGACATGCCTTGGAAGGCGAGATATGTATGTGAAGGCATAGACCACTCTGTAGGAATCATGAGATGCCCGCCAGGGATAGTAGAAACTACCTATTTAGTCTGTCTGCGCACCAAGCTCCCGGCATATCTCGGCCCCATCTCTGGTCGGAGGAGACTAGTCATCGAGTCTTTCAGGGGAGAATCAAGGTACGTAGGTATGTGCCGGATTCTATGCCTAACTATCCGTACATTACGGAGTATAGGCACGGAGCGTCCGATATATGCAGGGATAAATGGTTCGAATCCAGGACTCGACGGTAGGTAGTTAGGTAGTTAGTTCTGGCAGGGTCGACTTTGCGAGCGGGTCTGAGGGGAAAACCTCGGCGGCCGTTTGTGAACGAGGGAAATAAAATAGAATAAAACAAGAGACACAGAAAGAAAGAAAGAAAGAAAGAAAGAAAGAAAGAAAGAAAAGAAAAGAAAAGAAAAGCAGAGAGAACTAAGCGCCCGACCGGATGAAAGCTCAGATCAGCTTCTGCTACTTACGTACAGTACAGTACCTGCATGGTCTGGCCTCATGAGACCAACAGGCACAGACCGAACAGAGAGATAGATACCCAGGAATCCGTAGATATCTCAGCTCTGTAGAGATAGATGCCTGCTTAGCCCTTAGCCCGGGACTAGATGAGTTGTCAAAGTGTAAGGCGCTTCAAGAAACTGGTTTTTTGGAAAATTAGCATTTCCTAATGCTATGCAACGCGACGGCAGTTGGACGCTTGTTTTCTGCTACCTAGTACTCTATAATTATAGAGGTTTATCTTAAAAGTCTTTACTAGCGCTAAAATTATATTAAATAGGGCAAAAGATTAAATACCTATAAATCTTAAATTTTATATCTATTTACCTTTACCTTTTTTATATTTATTTCTACTTTTTAAAGCTATAATTTTTTAAATATATATAAAAATTCTCTTTATTTATATCTAAATTTATTTTTATAAAAGGTTATTTTATATAGCCTTTTATTTATAAATAGCTTTCTTTTTATTCTTTAAGGCACCTTTTTTTATTATTATTCTTTTTATTTATAGCTAAATAGGCTTAATAGTATTTAAATTTAATAAATTTAAATATTAAAGAAGTCTTTAAATTCCTTTAGTATTATATAAAAACTGCTATATATAGTATTTATAAGTAAAAGCTTAATCTTTTTATATAAAGGTATTTAATCTTTCTTTTTTATATTTCTTTATAAAAAAAAGTAATTTTAAAATTAAAATCTTTATATAGTATTACTATTAATTAATACTGTCTTTTTTCTTTTTTATTAGCTTACTATTAGCCTTATTTTAAGATTATATAGGCTTTTTATTAAATAAGTTATAAAGTTTTAGCCTTTTTATTTTATTTTTAAGCTTTTATTTCTTTTTTATAATTAACTTAAGCTTTTTATTTATTACCTATATTACTTTTTTAATAGCCTTTTTCTCTTTTAAAGTCTTTAAAGACTAATAATAATAAAAACCCTTTTTATTATATAAAAAATAGGCCTAAAATATAAACTTACTAAAATTTTTCTATCTTTTATAAATATAACTATAAAGAAATTACTTTTTAGGCTGCCTTTAAATATAATAGCTATTATAATAATAAAAAAGTATTATAAAAGTCTTATTTAATTAAATTATAGCTTTTTAATCTTTAAAGGTTTAATTTTTATAAATAATATACTATTTTAAGTATTCTTTTTTTATTATTATAGTTAATTTAAATTTTCTTATTAACTTTATTTTTTTATATTTTATTAATTTAAGGATTTTAATAATAGTTATAATTAAGATTTTAATACCTTAACTATTAAGCTTATTAAAGATATTAATAAATATTTTTTTTTATTAAATTAATTTATATTAACTTTAATAATAATTAGGCCTTAATTTTCTTTAATTTACTTTAAAGGCTATTTAAATTAAGCTTTATCTTTAAGTTAAATATTAATAAACTTAAAAAAATATTTATTAGGCTTAAAGTATCTTTTAATTATATAAAAATATACTTTATTAATTATATATTTAGAGATATTAATTAAAAGGTAGATTTAAAATATAGTTTTTACTTTTTTATAAAATACTTTTAATATTACTATTAAAGCCTAAATTATAATATTTATTTTTATATATAGTATCTTCTTTATAAGGTTAAAAGGAAAAAAATAGTATAGAAATTACTTATAGAAAATAGCTAATAAAATTAATAGGGATATCCTATTTAAGTTTATAAAGGTAGTTATTAATCCCTGCTTGCCAGTAAAGACTTTTAAGACGAACCTCTGTACCTACTAATCCAAACCCTCTAAATCCCTGCCTCTACCCAAGACCTTTTGCTCTCTATTCTTCTTATGTTCAATCGAATTCACTTGACTAATAAGGCATGGACAGCACATCCCGTCCCAATATGGGAACCCATTAAAGCCCTTGAGAACCATTTGCGGAGAAAAAAAGGGCCTAGGCCTTGTCAAGGACTTACTGGGATGTTTGCCCTGGAGCGAATGGCTTCGTGGAGCGTGTCTGATGTGGATATCAGTTTAATTGAGGATGGGGCACGAAACGAGACTCATCAGTTTCTTTTTAAAGAATGAATGAATCGTTTGACAGCGGTCATGATGTCACTGCGTCTAGATACCTACCTACCTAGGTAGTAGGTACATAGATGTTCGTTCAGGGGAATTTCTACCATTCAAGGGAGGAATTTAATATTTTGGTGGACGAAAAAGCGGTCAAAAGTATGGCATCAGTTAATTGATTGTCATTGAAACACCTCAGGCTCAGCTGAGGTCAGGTCAGGACAAGTCAGTTGGTGAGGTCGCATTTTGGGTTACATATCCATTCCTGCAATGGAAGAGATGTTGGAGTCGTAGTAGGGTTGGTTGGGTGTTTACCTAAAGAGGCAATGTGTAAATAATGCAAGTAAGAAGACGCGTGACAGAGGGTTGGGGAAAAGACGCGTCATACCTTGAAGCTTGGATAATTGAGTTTTGGTGGTGTCGGTGTTGGTGGGAAGCAGATCACACTCTCTGGCTTTTGTTGTACATACATACATAGTACAGCACAGCTTCCATGAGTAATCCCGTCCTGGCTGAGGTGATCATGATGACGCCTCACTTACCTAGGTATACCTACCCCGCTAACTACCTTTACCTAGCTACCTCTAGGTAAGTACAGAGTATGATACGGGATATTCAAGATTCGGTCTTGGTCTTGGCCTGTCCTGGTCTCAATCTTTGGCCTTTTCTCCTCCCTCCGTTGAGCCGAATGTGAATCTGTGCTGCGCTATCTCGACCGACGGAGTCTGCAAGTACAGTAAGAAAGCCCATTGACAGCTGAAACTATGGATGGTGGAGCAAGGATCTAACTTGCTAGCCGATGATTGACTAAACTACGTCGTTAGTCAATGGAACCCACCGTAATAAATCCTGGTTCAGAGGTTGGTTGGTTGATTGATTGATTGATTGATTGATTGATCTAAGGTTGAGGCTGTTTTCAGCGTTTGAGCCATGAGGCATAAGACACGTTATCCAATAGCCCTGAGTTTCTTCAACAGTACCTGGGTAGGTAGCCATGCATCGGATGCCTTGGGCCCAGTCTGATCTACAATTATCCATCCATCATCAAAACAGCCCAAAGCTCAAGATGCGCCCTGCAGGACGGGACCGTTGGCGTAACGGGATATGTACATACTCCGAGTATCTATTTGATCGACATACTACAAAGATCACCTATGTATCTCGGGGCTTATCAACCTTGAAGGATATCTATCAGTAATTACTCTACCTAGGTACCTTAGGTACGGTGATGGATGGAAGGGCACGTCCCTATGCCAGAAGTTCCAGAGCCCGGATAGCATTGGATACATGGCAATGATGAATTTCGCGCGTGGTTTGCTCACAGGCTCAGCATTCAGCTCTCAGCTGTAAAGAGTTTAAATGCCGGACTGCGTGAGCACTTTTCGCTTTTCTGGTCTCGTTCAATGCAAACTCTAATATGCTGCAGATCGGAGGAGGAACAGATCAGAGGGGGCACGAGGAAAATCACGATTCGTCACATGCAAGGGTGATCCTGTTAGAGAGAGTTTCTTCGTTGAGCCCCATTATCAGCGCCAATGCCATTCATAGTCAGCCACCCAAGGATATCCATCATCATCCAAGGAGTGAGAAGAGGTGCTGTAGGTACCTATGCAGATATGTATGTACGCAGTAGATTGCAAGGCTATTGAGATGCGGGGGGTCTCGTATTTCTCCTCGTCCCGTCGCTTGCATCCATCATTGTTTCGCCTCTGGTGGTGGTGGGTGCAAGCACCAAAAGCTAAAAGTCAGGTTGCCAATTGATATTCTGAGACTGCTCGATGCAACCTCTGCTGCAGACCCTTGGGATTCGCAGTATTTGATTGGTCCTCGACGATTACAATCCAAACAAAGATTGGCACTGATTCAAGACGCGCCTTGGTCGGCCAAAAGCGCACCCAAACTTTGTTATCTCATCAGCAACAACATCATCATCATCATCACCACCAACACCCCTACGTTAACTCACACACTTCAATCAATCCACACCAATTTGAATTCTTTGTCAAAAAGAACAAAGACGGTGCGCACTGACCCTGATCTCGACTCTCTTTCAGTTGGCTGCATCCTTGCTCATTCTTGGTTGGCGGCCGTTATATGCTACCTACCTTAGCAGTCTACTCGTACATTCTACTATGGGTACTACCTACCTATTCAACGGTTTGCCTGTGGCTGGACTTTTGAAGTGACTCGGCAGGGCTTGACTTGATAGTCTTGACTTTGCCAAGTGAAGCATTCCACCCAGTCATGCTTCCTCGACAAGGACAAGGCCAATCATCGTCTTAAGAACCCTGCTCGGAAGCACGGGCTTGAGAGGGGCCGTTATCCATCCATCAATCAATCATCTTGGGGGAAAACACATCCTAAAGGTACATGCATACATACATGCCGAGCTAAGGTACCTATCGTGGCAAGAGAAGGAGGGGAGAGAAGAAAAACCGCTGATAAAATTCAAACAAAGACAGAGTAAGGCATTGATGAACAAAGAGGCGTAGTCAATTCAATAGCTCTCGGCATCTCTAACGTTAGTCCTTTTCTGTTTCCAACTGTGGCTGGCTGACTGTTCTCGTTACGGTATAGCATGGCGTGGCATGGCGTCTCGTCTATCTGATGGGCTTTTCCTTTTTCCTCGACCTACCACAAGGTATAGGTACTGAGCTGCTGTAAATACATGTCGATTTCAATCAAACATGCATTTCAA